TGTGTATTTCAACACAGGAAAATTAGTTTTCGATGTCACCAAGCACCGATACCCCATCTGGTGGCAGTGCAAAGATCTGTGCCCTTGTTTCGCCGGTGCGTTGATAGCAAACTCTTGGCATACAAAATATGTCTTCATAAAGCAACTCGTCACCGTGAACTTGGATCGGCATACCAAAAATGGAGAGGTCAAGAAGACGCTGCTCGTTCCATGGACAAAAGTGGCGGCCATACGGGGAGTTTGGCGCTACTTTCCTAAGATCCAGTGACTTTCCTTCCAGAGGCTGCTGAAAAGAAACAGAGATGAAGTGACAGATAACGCAATACTATTATATTTATTTTACACCTCCCCTGTCAAAATGTCTTATGGATTTCGCTTCCAGATAATCGGGGCTTTGTTCGTCCCCGGTGGTGTAAAGAAAGATGCAGATCCCAAAATATTCGAGTTTTACGATACAACACTGAAGCCGAGTATGGTGCTTAGGTAAGGGCTCGCACATCTTCATGGCTTTGTTAAAATGAAATGCTTCAGATCTACAAAAGGGTCACTAACATCATCGGTATTTTTCATTGCTGAAAACGAGTGAAAGTTACTCCCAGGGATCGCCCTAAATAACGCGTGCCCACGAATTCTAAGGGAAGTTTTTAACGTGGCCGTATATATCGGCTCGGTAACGTATCGCGCTACGATTTACCACGGAGTTTACCGAGGCTAGTGGAAGAATCGCATCAAGTTTTAAAGAAAAAACTTGCCTGAGTAAAAAGCATAAAAAATTAAAATGATAACTAATTTTCACTAACCACGCAGCCTATACACGCACCCTCTGACTGGGACAAAAAACGACAGATGGTGGCCCCGGCGTGAGCCGACCGCCCGGTCGTGCCAATAGCAGACGATGTCTTCGAATCACAAGCGGCTCGCGCTCAAGAGAACACGTTAACTGAACCCAAAACGAATAAAACCGACAATTCGCCGATTAATTTCAGCTACACGTCGTTCGCTTTTGGCTTGACTGGGCGGTAAGGTGGCGCCGGGGCATCTGCAGTCATCTGTCGGAGGCTGCGGCAGCCAAAGGATGTGTGGATAACAGACGGACACTGGAGGTAAAGAAAACCAGTTATCATTATTCAGGTAAGTTTGTTCTATGGACTGTTTTGTGCGATGCTTCTCTGTGCTTAAATTCAGAGGGCCTCGGGGGCTCTCCGACCCCCCGCCTATTTTTAAGGGGGTTCTGAGACCCACCATAGCTCTGGCGTTGGTGAAACAGAATCATAAGTACTCCACCTTGTAATCAGACATGTTACAATTTTCAAATTGAAGTTGTGTTGAGTAGCCATTTCCAGAAAGAGAAAAACTATGTTGTGAGTTGCCTTTGTCGATGTCATGTGGAACAAAATGGCGGATGTTTCAGGGACGAGACGAGAAAAACGATCGGAATCCTCGTTGATGGTAGGTTGCGTTTCCCGATAACATGCCGAGTTACGCATACGTATTATGCAAGTCGGTTTTGTGTGGATCTAATATGAGCCCCCCCCCCCCCCCCCCCCGCTTTCCTTCCTCCCCTTTTGTCCAGAGAAGTCTAAAAGTCTTAAAGTCTCCAAAGGAGACTTTAAGCACTCCACCACCTGCAGACACCCTTGTGGTGCATCGTAGGACGATACGTTACCAAGCCAATTTATACGGTCACTTTAAAGGCTTCTCACAAAAGCGTGGGCACGCGCTAGTTTCAACCTGGGAACTGAGTATTCGCAGAGAAATAAAAATGTTATCAAAGTGCCTGATTTGAAGCTGCCGCCTCAATCTATGACGGAGATGGCGAAATGGTGAAGTCCTTGTATTTTTGGGTGACTTCAAATAGGAAGTGTCGTTTAACTTACTGTATTTGCCTCCTACCAATCACGGCAATCAGGAGCGCTCGCGTCTACCAACCGGCCAATCGCGCGCCTACTTAGCTGTGCCCTTGCTACGTCACCTTTCTCCGCGTGCAGACGAGGAGTCACTTTTTGTTCGATTTTCTTATTTTAATAGTGTGCTTCAGGGATACTACAACGAAATTTCTGCGCGTCTTTTTTGGTATATATCTGTTCAAAAAGCAGTGTGGTATCGAGCACACCGATATCTTGTTAAAAAAGTCACGAAAAGAAATTTTAAAGCGAATTAAACGATTAGCAAAGAGCGCCTGGTGGATGTCACTAACGCCTCGTTTGTAATGACCACCCAGGAACTTTGACAGGTAGTGACGGTAAATGTCTCATTTCCCGCCACCACGAGAGAAGAGGGGAAGGAGGAACTCCCCTCTTCCCGAGATCGCTTTTGTGTGTCCCAGAAGTTGCTATTGTCTCTCTACAAGATTATAGAAGATTAACCCGTCACTCAATATTCGTACAAAAGCAGCCGTTTCGGTGGCTAGAACGACTAGGCCATCCTCTCGACGTCTGCCTCGCCGTAGCTTTGCTCGTCCCGAGACGAACTACGTCACGATTGCGTTAGATGTGACGTGCTCTCCGCTGGCTGATCTTCGACCGCTTTCCAGAGTGACCCGTTTATAACGAAAAATACAGCCACCAGGCTGAAAATACCAACGTGCGAGTGTCATTTCCGGATATTGTGGATCATATTCAACCTATTTTTTTTAACACGACGGGTATATTTCAAATTTCGTTGAAGTATCCCTTCAATGCGCCTCAGGTGGTTTTCCCATGCGCCGAAAAACAGGGAGTTAAAAAACAAAACAAAATAACGATAGCCTGCCGGGACGTTAGAACGCCGGGTTTTGATTGGAACGATTAGTGGGTAGGCCTAAAGCTGGCTGCCTTTGTCTCCCCTGCACTCGTAGAAGGCATTTGAATGCGAAAGCCAAACGCCGGACGCCGGCGTTCCGCGTTCTAACGCGTTCGACGTGTGCAGCGGAGACAAAGGCAGCTTTAGGTCGACCCACTAATCGTTCCAATCAGATCTCGTCGTCCTGATGTCCACACGCGCTCCCGTCTCCTCCTCTCTCTCAATTTCTGGGCGCATAGGTCAGGGCAACGTTACTAGAACCACCCAGTTGGGAAACTCCCATAGAGCCTGTTCTGAAAAAGTGACACCGATCCGTACTCGCGAACCGAGCTAATAGCGATAGCAACGCCGCCATTTCTCCCGCACCGGCCACTCGAGGAACGGCACGTGACTTTTATTTTGGCTTTAATCGGCCATTTCGGTCGTCGAAATCATATCAATGTTTTCACTTGAAGGTAGGGTCAGTTAAGAACAAATAATCAGGGACGATATGTTCGAGAAATGTTTCGCTTCTCCTAAAAAGATACGGAAGTGACGATATCGCAACTGATTGGTTAGAGGCTCAAATGAAGAAAGTTCTCTCTTTCGTCATTTGAGCCACTAGCCAATCAGACAGGATAGCGTCACTTCCGTTTCTTTTTAGGAGAAACGACACATTTGTCGAACATAGCCCCCCTGATCTCTGTCTTTTATTTCAGCAGCTACGTCAGACATTTTCATAATAATGTTAACTGAAACATAGTCTACGCACCACACGAATATTCCGTCTTCCGTCAGTCCTACAATACTCTTTAAATCGCACTGATGGAACATGCATTTTATGATTTTAGGGAGATTTTCAATTGTGTTCTATTACGAAATTTCTGCACCCTTACAAGTCATTACAAGTTTATGGTATCTCGATTGCAACGGTACTTGGTGTTTGCTATCGTCCACTGAATGGCAGGATAACTTTTTTTTTCTTTTTTTTTTTGGGGGGGGGAGGGGGATATCTGGAAGCCTTTTTCTAGCGTGAGCTACACTGGCCGAGGTTGAGCAGTTTCGTGTGGGTCCCAAAGAGCCGTGCTGCGCATGCACGAGGAGCAGTGACGTCACACGGCGCACAGCTGGCGCGCCGGAGCCGCCGCCGCCGCGCGCTCCTCGCCGGTCTGCGGATTCCAGAGGAGTGACGTCATTGCCACGGCAGACGCACTGGCGCCGCCGCGCGCCCAGCTGTGTGCCTCCGTTGGGCAGTTGCCAAGTCTGAAGCTGCACCGGAGCCGCTTGATAGCGCCTCTCATTTTGTGCGCATAAGCTCACGCTACGCATACCCTGGCATAGCCGAGATAAGTCACCGCAATCTTTATCATGTGAGTAATGAGTTCGCTTTGATTCGTGGCGGCGATGCGGATACAAATATGCTAAAAAATGAAATAATGAAATCGAAGATATTAATTATTATTATTGTGATTATATATTAATATTAGCAGTATTATTAAATATTTATTGTTATTATTTTAATTTTTATTATGGGAATCACCCAGTGGGCTATGTATGGGTTGGATGCCAGTCTCTTGTTTTGACAGTTTGTACAAACTTGAATTGTCTGAAAAAAAGTAGCGTCATGGCTATCCTAAAAAAGGGCCTCCCAAAGTATGCAACCCTGTGATCCATCAGAAATGTAAACTATTCTGTCGACCCCCCCCCCCCTTTCCCTCCCCCCTTCCTCCCGCCAACCCCGGCTTTTCGCTATGTCATGAACTTTCGAATTCACTGCGTAAACCATCATAGACAAAATTGCCGCAGAAATTTTATTTTCCTCTGCATATGGTCAGAGTAAATCAACTGGAATAAAGACGCATGCCGACAGGAATGACTGTTCTTCATGACTGGGTGAACTTTTCTGTTGGAGGTCAGTCTCTTAAAACGACACCACATTTCTCAGTACCCGCTCGATGCTGAGCTTCGACCTGTACGTTGTTTTCACTGACGCCACTGCAAAGAGGCAGAGTTCACTTTTTTTTTTTTTCGAGTTTCCGAGCCGCCTTGTGAGCCCAAGTGGTGTCGCGTTTCACAGTTTCGGAAAGACTTTCCTAACACATTAGAATTTTAAGTTAACTGTCGAGCAGCGCCTCGATGTTAAGGTCTGGAACACTAAAAAGTTTCCAATTTTTATTTTAATGTTTTTTTGTATTTTTTTTAATAGGAATTCCTGCGACAACAACATATCTTTGATCAAGCTTTCCCATATGCGAGATATTAAGGACTTTGAAATGCAGTTTCTCGTCGCTGTGAGTATAATAACTGGCAATGATCACGGTGTTAGCGAGAGTGAATCCAGACGATTCTGTACACTTTTGATTTAGTTGTACGCGAACGGCATAGAAAAATGGTATTACTAATAAATAGCGCGAAGGTGAAGTACTACATACTTGTTCCTTTCAGTGTATTCCGTCAATGAGCATTTGACCTTTGCGCTATGTATTAGTATTATGCGTATTCAACTAGACCACCTTAATACTTAACTAAAAGGAGGTTCTTAATATTCCACTTGATTGTTTTGAAATCTTGGTCTTGATGTAACATCAAGGAACAATGGAGTATCTTTTTCCCCATTTACCGCCGTTGGAAGTTTGATGGAACGTGAAAGGTTATCACGGGCTAATTTTTTTTTTTCTGCTTCATGTAAGTTTTTGCTAAACCTTAAATATAGATGAAACAGAAGTTCGAGAATGAACCAGATACACGTGAACTATTGTTTTATTTTAGTTTTTAAAATCATTTATCGAAATCCTGCACACCTATTGTCTATTTTGGTTTCAAACTGGCAGTGTTAAACAAATGCTGCTGAGAGGTAGGATGTTACGAGGAACTGCACGATGTAGTTATAGCCCCAGGGCTCACAAAAAACAAAAAAACAAAACAAAAAAAAACTTCGAAGGTTCACTGCCGCACCTCTACGCTACGCGGCGTCGCTCTTATCTACAAGAGGAAAAACGGCATGGGCGCGTGGTATATTCATAGGAAAATTGACGGATGTTTTCGGCGTCTATTTATTTAAATCTCGATGTATTTCAGTAATCTACTTTATATGAACGCTAAAACGTTAATTACCGCTCTTAAAAAAAAAAAGAAAAAAAAAAACATTACTTGAAAAAGGGAGGTTTCGACAAAAACAGAACTTCTGCCCTCAGCAAACAATTAGAAGGAAAATCTCTGTTTTTCGCTTCTAACTTATTTAGTATTTTTTTAGAGCAACGGATATTTATTTGCGTTTTTCGGTTGTAAGCGATCTTATCTATTTGACACCGACGGCTGTTTATCGGCGTTTTTCGGCTAAAACCGGTAACTCTATGACAGCGTACAGATAGTGACAAGTCTTAAACACAATACTGCGTTCAAATTACCACTTTACTTTCTTAATAGTGTACGCTGGTAGCTTTAAAGCAGTGTTGGCGGTAACGCGTTACAAGTGGCCGCGTTACCGTACACGCGTTACTTTTTTCGGTGACGTAGGAACGTACTCGTAACATTCTCAAAACATTAACGGGGAACGCACTTACGTTACTTATTTCAAGTAACGGCTGACGTACTTAGTTATTCGTTAAATCTTCTTCCCACGACCCGAAAATAAAGTACGCTACAAATTTTTCCTATTTTTAAATTTCGTATTACCTTAAGCTCAGACTCAGCCGACGCTATAGAGCTGATGTGAATATCCAGACTGCGTTAAAAGGGCACCATCATGTTTTTTTGTCATGTTTGTGTACGTGTTCCATCATCGCTGAACCACTTATAAACATAATTCTTTTATTTGTTTATTTTGTCTTCAGTGCACGAGATATTACAGAGGGGAGTGGGAACGATATGTAATAATAACACAAAAGGATCAACATATACAATACTTAAACAACAGGGAACATGAAATTGGTAATATATGTAAAAAAAAAAAAAGGCGTGGTTATTATTCGAGGTGAGCGATTCGAGTAAGCGGTTCCAGTCTCCGGAAGTTCTGGGAGTGAAAGAGTCATAATAAATGTTAGAGTGGCCAAATGGGACGCCGACCCTGTAACGATGTGCGAGGCTTGGGAGTAACAAACTATTTTTCCTTGTTGTTACGCTTGTAACGCGGTTATCATTGGCGAGTATGAAGCGTGCAGCTGTGTTCTGAACCCCTTCAAATGAATCAATGAGGTAATTAGTAGAGGGATGCCAGATGGAAGCTGCGCACTCTAGCTTGGACAGAACTAGTGTTTGAACAAGAAATGGTTTTAATGTATGCAGTATATTAGGTAATCTAGGTAATTTTGTAGTTTTTTGTGTGTGTCAGAGTCATTAGATATTACCCGACCAACAGCACTGTCGTCAGCAAAGACTTTGACTGAAGAAGAATCCATGGCTTGCAAGTCCTTAATATATATGGGTGGTTTCATCTCAAATCGTGCAGGCAAAAAGGGTCGAATTTTTAATGTCGATGAAAAAAATATATGTTATGGCGCCGTTTTTAAAAACGCAGTCGCCGCAGACCGCAAGTTCGTCGGATTTTTTGTTCGCGACTTATGAATTTTTAAAGAGGCCGCGGCGAAAAGCAGTGTTTTTCACACCCGTCGTGGGTCGGATGTTTCGCTTGATCTCCCGCCGTGGATTTTCAGTCCACATTATATTATCTTTTTTGAAGCACTCTGTGGACACATTTAAAAGGCTCGAATACCATAAAATAATTTTAGGCGTTTTGCTTTTTTTCTGTAAAAATGTCAAAAACGCCCCCTTGGTCAATTGTTGACGAACTTTGACAATTAATTACTGGCGATCTACTTGGGTTACATCAATACTTTTTATGTCCACGGAGAGCCCAAAACACGTTATTTATATGTATTATAAAATAACTTGGCTGTATAAAATATTCTTTGCGGTACGTTTACGTTAATGTTATGTGAAAACCAAAAAGTACCATTTTTGAAATTAATTTTCTCAAAAAAACCATTTTTTATTTTTTTTATTTTTTGTTAAAATGTAGATGTGATAGTTTTCTATGCGAAAATCAAGTCTAGAAAGTGTATATTTTGTTTGTATGTTTTATATTTAAGCATCAATATCGTACAAAAACATGTTTTTACGGCACGAAATGTACTTACGAATTGCGCGTCTTCACAAGCTTGGAAATAGTTTTTTTTTTCAACGTTCCCACATAAAAATGAAATACAGTATTTCCACCCTGTTATATTTATTGATTATTTAAATTTTATTATAGGCGGCAAGCTACATTGGGAGGAGTTCCAAAAAGAGAAAGCAACACTTCTTAACAGACCAGCAGGTGTCGTAAATTTTTAACGTGTAGGAGTCGGCAGACGTCGTATTGATTCGGGGCCCTCATTGGCCTGCATGAACGTCCCGCCCTTTCGGAGCCAGCAGATGACCACGACCTTTCGCGCTCGTTGTGTTAGATGGGACGGCCCGTGACAGTAAAGCGAGCAGCGCACCCTGTGTCACGAGGAGTGAAATGGTACGATTGTGTCGTTGACGCGGCGAACAGTGACAGCCACCCAGGAGGAGTCAGTCAGAGTATTGCACAAGGGAAAGCAAAGGAATCGTTGCCTGAAAGGATGAGGACACCATGGCCTTACAATATCGACGGTCAACAACTGTTCTGCCAGCCAAAACAACGCCGCGTGCGCGCTAAAACCGGCGGCGCGGGACAGAAATCCCACAGCCGCACCCACGAAGATGGGCCGGTTTCGTTAGGGATGTGGGGAAATTTGAAACCAGCCATCCGTGCATGCGTGAAACGATACCGCCTGTTCGCCCCAGCTTCGAGCACCCTATCCTTACCTTGCAAACGGCCGTGCTGTCTCTCTCTCTCCGGGGAGATCCGATAGCACCGAAGGGTTATCTATTAAACTTGAGGAAGAAAACGAAAAGGGGCTGTTTAAGTTTAATTATCCCCACCAACCCGCTCATTCTGTCCTTATAAAGGGCTATCTCTTTTGGAAACAGCAAAGCCCGGAGACTGACATTAAAACAAGCGTGTTGGTAAATATACTTGTGTTTGTATTTTGCCCGGAGACTAGTTGGGTCGAAGTCAGCCTCCTTGTCAACTATAACCGTTTGTGAAGAGTGGGCTTCTCCGGAGATGAAAAGTCAGCGCCGGCTGACGTGCTCTTTTGAAAAAGGGATGGGGAAAGAGAAAGTTTGAGTAACTGCAGAAACTACCTCCAAAGCTCCTCTCCCGATATGAAGCTTCAGGCATAGTCTCGGTTACCTTCTCGCGCATCGCCTGCTCGAATCTATTCTTCACTTTCTTTCGCACAGCCACTGTTCCTCACAGCCGTCGTGGATGTGCGTAACAGAGGGAAAAACAGATTCGAGCATCATCTGGACGCCGTCATCCTGCCAGACTTCAGTGTCGTGGGACCGACTCGTGTGTGTTTCTTCGCCCCGCTGAATTTAGTTTCTCGGGTGCGTTTTTGAACGGTTTTTTTTTTTCAATGTTTTCTTACTAACCGTTTGTTAGCACTGTTCAGTTGTTGGGTTTATTTTGTCATGGCGTAGCGGCCTAGGCGGTGATGTAGAGAGCGTGTTCGCACGCATTTGGTTGCGTCCCATTTGGGGAATGCCCGGAGGAGTTGGTTTATCTTCTTGCCATGTGCGGCTGAGTTTTCCCGTCTTTATTAAATTATTGATTTTTTTGTTTTGTTTTACCTTTACGTGCCGTCGACTTCTTTGTCTGACTCTCCACCAGGCGTGGACCTATCGTCTTGCCACCACTCCAACCTAAATACTTTATTTTTTTAACGCAATTTTCGTTAAGATCGCAGTTGGGCAATTTAATTCCTATTTATTTATTTTTATTTCCTACCTCTCCCCATGACACACTCTCTGTGTGTTTCGGACCGTTTCTGTGTCACCACTTTTGTGTATTACGGAAGTGAAAGGACATTCCCTGGTGACCTGTGCGATGTGCGGTGAACAAGCCCCAGTGCTTGGTTTCGTAGAGAATTGCATATAATATATCGACGATGTGGTGACTTTCTTTGTCTTAGTAATATGACAGCTAATAGCTAGTCGTGCTAGTTTACTGTGAAAGGTTTATAAATCGAAACAATACAACGTCTGTGCCTTTTGGTTACTCAAAGTCTACTAGGCCTGCTGATTTGGTTAGATATGTATCTCGTGGTTCCCGCTCTTATCAAAACATACATAAATATTCAATACCACAAAATTCGTTTATAATTGATTACAAAATGCAGAAGAAAATTCAAGAAAACTTTTTCACAATTCATAGAGACGCATG